CACTCTCACCCTGAAGCCTTCTCAATAGCATTATATTCGCAGACACCCCACCCCCACACTCTCCCTCAGAGACACACATCTCCAGCACAAACACAAGACCCTCACACTCACACACACCCCTCCACCCCTATATCACTCTTCACACTCTGTCCTTCTCTCCCAGCGCCATGGACTTCCTTACTTCTGACGTTGACAACATCTGCTGGCAACTTCGTCACTCTGACCTCTTCGCCTACCAGTCCCCCATTATGTCTCCCTCACCCAACCCACCCTGACCTCCTTCCACAACAACAACAAGATTCCACTTATAGAGCGCCATTCACTTCGGTTCCACGACCCCTATCCTACAATCATTTGCCCCCAGCACCCCTTCCTCCCTCTCATCCATCACTACCGCAATGAAACACAACACCTGTTACCTCGACACCCTCCCCACCCAACTGCTGATCATTCAGCTCAACCTCTTCTCCCCACTTTGGGCAAATAATATTAAGCACCCACTCTCGTCAGGATCAGTCCCACTCGCCCTCAAAACCGCGGTCACCACCGCCCTCCTGAAATATATACCCTCGATCCCTCGAACCTCGACCACTACCGCGCTATCTGTGACCAGTGCTCCCTCTGCATTCCCGTCCTCCGCTCATTCTCCACCAACTCTCCTCCCATCATCCACCTCAGTGGAACGGCATTCGTTTCGCACAAATCCTACCATACAAACCGCCAGCACTGCTGCAAATGGCTTTTCTTGGTGCTTAATCCTTGGCCCCTTCTCCTCCTCATCAATAAGCTCCCTCTCGGTGCTGTCGTCCGCAAACACGGGCTGATCGATGTGGTGGACACTCAACTCTACTTGTCCACCTCCAGCTGTGACCACCCCCCACCCCCGTCACCGGTTTGCTGTCAGATTGTCTGACGGACATCAGCAGATGGATGAGCACAAATTTCCTGCAGATAAACCTCAGTAAGACGGAAGCCATAATCTTTGGCTCCCGCCGCCGTCTTCTGTCCCACGATTCCGAATTCCTCAACCTACCCGACCTGTCCTTAAAGCTCTCTGAACCCGAGCGCAACCTTGTCGTCAGGTTCGATCCGCAGTTATCTTTCCATTCCTTGTCTCCACCCCTCCCCAATCTCTCTATCTTCCTCTTTCCCCACAGCAGTAGACGCTGTCTTTTGTCTATTGGGTCCGATCTACTCTGCGTCCCCCGAATCCTCCGCTCCGACATCGGCCGCCGTGCCTCAGCAGTTGCGACCCGAAATTTTTGAACTCCCTCCCTCAACACCTTGGCCTCGCTCCCTTATTCCCCCACTTGAGGACGCACCTGAAGACTTTCCTTTTCGACTGCGCCTACATTCACCTTCCCACTCCCCACGGCTCAGCCTCGGGCTCCGTCCTCGTTAACCACAGAGAAGATGCCAGAGTTGGAGGGCGCCATATAACAGCAAGTTATTGCAATTGTAGTTGTTGTTGATCTGAGGGTTGCCAGCTTGGTAAAGGTCCCTGCGTGGGAGGGATTGAGGGAGGCGGCGGTCATCTTGGTCAAGGAGAAGGGAGCTGGTCAGTGTATGTGGGAGGCATTGCATATAAATAAAGTTTTATAAAGTGAGGAGTGTGTTCCCTGAGACGCTTAGGCGGGAGGAGGAGCCTCTGAGCTCCAGATAACGTGGATTTTACCACCTTATCTCTTTTATCTCCTCTCTCATTGTTCTTATTACTCTCCCTTCCGTTTCTCTCTCTCCTTCTATTCCGTTTCTCTGCAATCCTTTGCCTCTCACTCCCCTTCTCTCTCTCTCTCTCTCTTACTAGTTCTCTCTTTCTCTCTTTATCTCTCTCTCTCTCCCATTCTTGGTCTCCCCCACTCTCTCTATTCCCCTTCTCTCCTCTTTATCCTCTTGATAACGTGATGTGGCGCTATACGAAATGGCAGGATTATTACATAATATGTTAACAAACTGGCATTTAAACAATTGATTAGGACAAACGTGTCATCAATTTGACACGAAAAGTGTCTGTGTCTCTCTTTGTATCTGTGTCCGTGTCTCTCTGTGTGTCTTTACCTGAGTTTGTGTCTCTCTATGCGTCTGTAACTGCGTTTGTGTCTCTCTTTGTTTCTCTGCCTGTGTCTGTCTCTCTCGGTGTGGCTGTTCCTGTGTATGTGTCTCTCAATATCTGTTCCTCTGTGTGTCTCTGTTTGGTATATATCTGTGTCAGTTTCTCTTTGTGTCTCTGTATGTCTGTACCTGTGCTTATGTCTCTATATCTATACCTCTGTGTGTGTCTCTGTGTATCTGTACTTTTGTTTGTGAATCTCTGTGAGTCTGTATCTATGTTTATCTATGTGTTTCTACCTGTACCTGTTTCTCTCCATGTGTCTGTACACGTGTTTGTGTCTCTGTGCGTGCCTGTACATGAGTGTGTGTGTGTCTCTGTGTGTCTGTACCAATGTGTGTTTCTCTCTTTCTCTCTGCCTGTGTCTGTCTCTCTATCTCTCTCTCTCTCCGGGGCTGGTCGGCCCTTCCAGGTCGTGCCGATGAGTCAAGCCGAGCTATGGTGCCATCAGCATTGCGAGCCCTGGGACACTGTGGACAATCCTGGCTCAAGAACTAGGAGAGGAATCCATCACAGAGGCCTCGCTCCATTCCTACATTCCTTGCCAAGCTGCAGGTCAAGTCCATTCAGAACCTGTTCAACTGCCCTCAAGGAGGATAAGGGGTTTTACTAATACTACTGTCGGATGTTACACAGGAGAGTAGAGTGCTGCAGCAGGTTTATATTTCTTTATTTCAACACACGGTAACTACAGTAATAATAATAATAATCCTTGCATTTGACACAGCGCTTTTCACATCGGGAAGACGTCCCAAAGCGCTTCACAGAACACACTGTAAAGTGGACTGTCTATATTTGTGGGCGAAAGCGGCAGCCAATTCCGCACAGCAATGTCACTTAAACAGTAGTTGATTGTAAATGACCAATTTATTATTGTTTTGGCACTATAAGTAATGATATTCATACAATACACAACAGCCATCTGGAGAGATCTTCCAACATATGATTTATCTGTTGACAATATTCTTGAGTATTGGTCAAAGGTTTCTTTGATAACAGTGTAGGGAGAGCAATAAAAGTTAATAATTATTACAATCGAACTGGTCCTTCTCGGTCTTGCAACACATTTACAAGCTGTTATTGGAAATACGGTGTGGTCTGATATATCATTGCTGTGGCAGTGTCTCTCAGCTCGTCCTTATTTATTATGTACCAGCAATAGGAGATGCTGTTCTGTGGAGTTGCCCGGTTTATGCCAAACATGTCACCTTGGGACCAGTTCAGCTTCAAGCAGAACCCGCTTACCTCGCACCCTCATTGGGCAAAGGCACATTCAAAGACAAATTGCTTGTTACAGTCGAGAGGGAGGGAGGAAAGTGAAGGATTAGAAGATAAGAATACAGGAGCTGGGAGCAAACTGAGCTTCTCCGTGTCCCCCACCCGGTACAGCCCACCACCGACAATTGAAACTTCATCGTCTCTACCCCCACTATCTGCAAATCTATCACACAATCACTTCACATCGTTCGTTTCCTTGACTACTTCAAGACCTAGCTCAATACACTCCTCTTCGAACAAACTTGCTTTCGGCCAACTTCCTAACCCTACGCTCACTGCCCTCAATCCCTCCTGATCCCACCATCAGTTCGTGTCCAAATCCCGGACTGTTCAGTGGCTTGGAACGTCCTCCTGACATGAAAGGCACCGGTTCTATGTATTTTTTTGTGTCAACAGCATTGCAAAATAAACTGCCTGAGTCAGTAATGGTCTCTCTTCTCCGTATTATTTGCATTGATATGGCTGGAGAGGGGATGGGTTTTGGGGGTAGCTTGCTGTCGGTGACATAACTTTCCTGCACTGAGAGCCTCTGGTTAAACCCTCACCTTCTCTGCAATATCTTCATTCCCACAAGCAAAGCTGCACATGACTGACGCTCAGGTTAGTGGTTGCCAGGCATGGAAGGGTGGAGGAGGACCTGAGGTAGGGATGGGGCCAAACTAGGAGATCTTTAAATGTTGACAAGTATCCTGAAGAGGCCCAGCTGGGGATGGTGGTCAGTTGAACTGAGCTGGGTTGTGATGACTGGTTGACGCTGGTCTGGAGAGTCAAACAAATGCAACACATTTACAAGCTGTTTAGTGACTTACTAGAAACCAGTTGTGGTCTGTTTTCACGCCTGTTTTGTCAGAGTTTCTCAGCCCGTCCAGATTTATTGTGTATCAAGAATAGGATAAGCTGTTCTGTAGAGCTGCCTGGTTTATGCCAAACATGTCACCTTGGGACCAGTTAAGCNTTTTTTTGTAGGAAGCAAGTGACAGAGAGTTAGAAAGTGTGGTGTGGGGGTTGGGAGGGTGTGGGACTGGTGAAGGGAAAAGAGACAATTGAAGGATAGAACTGCGAGTGTAAATCAAAATTATCATTTTGTTAAAATATTTTTGTGGATCCTGCTTTATTGCGGAAGGAGTAGGATGTGTGTCGCGTGGCGGCAGGGCAGATATTCTGGGGGAAGGGGATATTGTGTGGGGGAATGGGAGATTGTGTGGGGCGAGGGGAGATTGTGAGGTGAGTGAGGAAATTGTGTGGGGTGATGGAAGATTGTGTGTGGGGATGGGGGAGATTCTCTGAGGGGAAATTGCATGGGGGGAGGAGAGAGATTGTGTGGGGGGAGGGGCGAGATTGTGTGACGGGAGTTTGTGGGCTGAGTGGAGAGATTGTGAGGTGAGAGGGGTAATAAACAGGGATCGTTGAGGTAGATGTGGGAATGGGGAAATCTTCTAAAAGTTTTGATTAATCAGAAGTTATTAATCAGGATAGAAATGCCCAGGAGGCCCCTACTTGACAGGGAATGTCCTAGTGTTTAGGAGAGGGATCAGGATTATTGCTGTCTGTTTCTATTCCTTGTTCCATGTTCACTGGGATTCTAATCTACTCCCTCTTGCTCCTCGCCGACATTGGAACTCGTCTTTGGTGAACTTTGGTCCATTTCAACAGCAAACATTTCTTTGGTCAATATCCTGGGCGTTACTCACAATCCTGGCTCCAGACGTGAAGCCATGTGAATCAGATTGAAATGAACTCTGTCACAGGGCGGGACACACACAGCACAGATACACTGAGACTGAAGCAGTTTGGAACAGAAAGACTCCGGGTGATGAGAGCGTCTGGACATCACGTCCAGCGTCTGAAAGAGGAGCTAAACTGCGCCATTTGTCTGGAATTCTTTAAGGATCCTGTTTGCCTCGATTGTGGCCACATATTTTGTCGCTACTGTATCACCCGGAGCTGGGAAAAGCAGGGGAAACCTGCTGTGCGGAATATTGCCAAGTTATTGCTCAGAAGAACCCCACGATAAATCGGTCCTTGGCCAAAATGGTGGACAAAGCTCGAGAATTCAGTCTGAACGCGACACAGACAGCGGTTAAACGTCAGTGTGAGAAACACCCGGAGGAACTGAAGCTGTTCTGTGAAACTGACAAGAAATTGATCTGTTCCATTTGCGGAGATGTGAAAAAACACCGAGGTCACAGCTTCCTGCCCATTGACGAAGCTGCTGAAATCTACAAGGTAATGATGCCCTCACGAGGGATTCATTCTATTGCCCCGTCATGTATTCACCTCAATCTTTCCTTCTTTGCGTTTATTCCAGGATCAAGTGAAATCCTCCTTAGCTTCTCTCACACAGAGGAAGGAAACTGCTCTACAAACCGAAGCTAAACAGAGAGAAAATATTTCAAAAGTTAAGGTGAGTTGTGTCGGGGCTGAAGGCTGGGTTGTCAATTTGTATCTGGTCACGGTATGTACACTGTGTGATGTCTCTGTATCTCTGGTTACCGTGGTACACTGTGATATCTCATGTGTCTGTACTGTGTGTATACGGTGTGATGTCTCAGTGTAACTGGTTACTGCGCGTACACGGTATGATGTCTCAGTGTCTCTGGTTACTGTGTGTACACGTTGTGATGTCTCAGTGTCTCTGGTTACTGTGTGTACACGGTGTGATGTCCCAGGGTCTCTGGTTCCTGTGTGTAATGGTTGGATGTTCTCCATTTGCAGGAACAGGTGAACCATCTACAGACACACGTCACGGCTGAGTTTGCTAAGATGCACCAGAGCCTGACTGACAGAGAGCAGCGAGTGATGCAAGATCTCAGACAGCGAGAGCAGGAGATTTTAAAACGAATGGAGACAAATCTGCGAGAGATTCAGGGCAAATTAGATTCTGTTCAACAAGAAATCTCCGACTTACAGACGCAGATGGGAAAAGACACTCTCACCTTCCTGCAGGTAAAGAGATGACATTATATTGTAGTTCTGCATTACAATGTATTGTGGAACTGTAGGCCAGTTAGTCTCACATCAGCGATAGGATAAAATTTAGAATCGTTGATTAAGCATGTGGGAGTGCGATATTTAGGGGAACACAATATAAATTCGCAGATGACACAAAACTAAGAGGAAGTGTCAAAACAGAGGAGAATATTAAAAAAATGCAGCGAGACATAGATCGGTTAGGTGATAGGGAAGGTAGATGAAGTATAACGTAGGGAAGTGCGAAGTCATCCACCTCGGTAGCAAAATCAGTAGAGCAGCTTATTTTTCAGATCGGGTGAGATTGGAAAGTGTTAGTGTCCTGAGGGACTTGGGTTTTCCTTGTATATCAATCACAGACAGTTAGTCTGCAGGTGCTGAAAGCAATTAGGAAGGCGAACGCTATGTCAGCGTTCGTTATGAAAGGATTAGAGGATAAGAGTAGTGAAGTCTTGCTGCAACACTATAGGGGCTGGTGAGAGCACACCTGGAATACTGTGACCAGCTTTGTTCTCCTCATTTAAGAAAGGACGTACTTCCCTTGGAGTGGGTGCAGCGTAGATTTATTAGGTTAGCGCCAGGGATGAAGGAGATGAGTTACGAGGATAGGCTGACCAATTTGGGCCCATATTCTCTGGAATATAGAAGAACCAGAAGGGTTCTTATAGAAAACTGTAAGATCATCAAAGGGCATGATAGAGTAGATAGTGGGAGATTGTTTCCCTTTTTGGCGAAACTAAATCCAGGGATCACAAACTTTAAATCAGAGGCCATCTCTTTCGCACTAAGTTGAGGAAGAGTTTCATCACTCAAAGTGTGGTGAATGTACCTAAGTCACTACCCCAAAGGGCTGTTGACGCTCAGTCCTAGAACTTATTCAAGACTGTGATATATAGATTTCATATTACTAAAGGGATTAAAGGATATGGGGATACGGCAGGTTCAGGTTACTAGCTGGAGTTAGATTAGAAGATCAGCCATGATTGAATAGCGGGGCAGGCTGGAAGGGTCGAATGGCCTACTCCTGCTCCTACACATTATATTTTGTTATGTTATGTTAGTTCAGTCACAGTTACACACAGTTTGTAGCAGACAACATAATTGTGATTGCAAAAGAGATCATTGATTAAAACTGGGATGTGAGAGACTCTGTGCACATGAAATTTGTTGTTGCTCTAGTTGTCTCAGCGTGAGCTGACATCTATATATGTTTGATTTCATTAGGAGGAAGCTGCTGGCAACAGAAGGTATGAAATTATCTTTACCTTGTCTTTTATCGTGCAGTACTTTACCTTGTCTTTTATCGTGCAGTGGTTAGAGCAATCGCTTTACAAGTGAGAGACCTGAGTTCAATTACAGGCAGGGCGAAACCTTGGGCAAGTTTCCTTACTCCACACGCCTAATAATAATCCTCCAAAAAAAAAAAAATGGTCATTTTCAATCTACGATTGTTTGTGGGACATTGCTGTGCGCAATTGGCTGCCGCGTTCGCCCACAAATATACAGTCAATTCACTTTACAGTGTGTTCTGTGAAGCGCTGTGGGACATGGAAAGCGCTATATCAAGTGCAAGGATTTTTATTATTATTTGCCAAATATCCCAAAATTCAATCCAGAAACCAACCACAAGGTGCAGTTTCACTTTGTAATGTGACCATCGTTTATTTCAGGGTCAGTGACGAGGGATTTGATCTGTCAGTGTGTGAGGCTGAGCTGCCTGTGGGGATATACAATGGGCCTCTACAGTACACAACATGGAGATTGATGATACACGGCATCAGCCCAGGTAAATGTCTTCCATTCACACCCTGAAGCCGTGTCAACAGCATTATATTCGCCGAAACTTAACCACACTCTCCCTCAGACACAGACACACACACACAGCACAAACACAACACCCTCACACTCACACACAAACCTCTCACACTCACAACCCTTTCAAAAACACAAACAACAAACACACAACATTCACTAACACAACCCTCACTCACGCAACTCACACACATCCAACCCAGACACATGTCGCAGACACAACCCTCACACACTCGCCTCGCTCACAACTCACACATGCACACACACAGCAAATCTCAGGTACACAGCTCACACACACCACTTACACACACACCTCACAAACACACCCTCACACATACTTCTCTCACACACATACACCCCTCACACCCCTCAAACACTCACTTCTTACACACACCTAACTCATCACACACACATCTGTGACACACAACTCATACTGTCAACCACGCACACAACTCATCAGACTCCTCAAACACACACCTCACACAAACCTCTCACACAACAATAGTAATAATTCTTGCGTTTCATATTGCGCTTTTCACTTCTTCTCGGCGTCTCAAAGCGCTTCTCAGAATATACTGTAAAGTGAATTGACTGTATATTTTATGGATGAAACGCGGCAGCCAACTGCTCAGAGCAGCGTCCACAAACGGTCCCACAAACAATCGTGGATTGAAGTAACCAATTATTTTTGTTTTAACAAGGCAATTTGTACTTGGCCACAGGCAACTCAGCCTCGCACGATGACATATCAAACCACTCAATCACACAACACAAGCACCCCTCAAGTACACACCTCACACATACACACTGCTTACATTGCACACCTCTCTCAGACACCTCACTCACATACACCTCTTACAAACGCCCCTCACACGCGCAACTTTCAAATACACCAATTATACACATAACCCTCAAAAATACATCACACGCACACCTCTCTCGCACAAACGCTACTCTCATACACTCCAATCACACCGCCTAAAACACACACCTCGCATGCACCTATTGCACACATATCTATCATCCACAGACCCTCAAACACATCTTTCACACAAGCAACTCACACATACCAGTCACCCACAAGCCTCACCCACCACCACCACAAACATGCATCTGTGAAACACCACTCACATACACTCCACACACAAACATTCACACACTCGCCACACACACTCCTCTCAACAAGACCTCTCACACACCCCTCACATACTCTCCTCACACACATACCCTTACACAGACTGTGACCCTCTGAGCTCGATTGTGTTCCCAGGTGTAGAGGTGTGGAAACACAGTCTGAGCTCCCAGACGTCCCCTCACTCCACCTTGTGCTGTTACTCTCTCTCAGCTCCAGCTTCTCTGACTCTGGATCCTGAAACAGCCCATCCCGACCTCATCCTGTCTGAGGACCTGACCAGCGTGAGAACCGGAGACACATGGCAGAAGATCTCTGAATCCCCGAAGATGTTCAGTAAATATTTCAGTGTCCTGGGGTCTGAGGGCTTCACATCAGGGAGACATTACTGGGAGGTGCTGGTGGCCCACAAGACTGAGTGGACAATGGGATTGGCCAGAGAGTCCGTCAAAAGGAAAGGAAATATCACAGCGTCACCAGACGATGGATTCTGGGCTTTGTGTCTGAATAACGGAAATGAATACAAAGCTCTGACCTCAACTCCCACTCGCCTGCCGTTGAGAGAGAGACCCGGGAAGCTGGGAGTTTACCTGGACTATGAGGGGGGACAGGTGATATTTTACAACGCTGAGAACATGTCTCATCTCCACACTTTCACCCAGACTTTCACTGAGAAACTTTTTCCTTTCTTCAGTCCCGGTTTGAATTATGCCGACAAAAACTGTGATCCACTGAGGATCTGTCGGGTGACAGATTAATGAGGAGGAAATCCTCAGCCATGACCTGTGTTTGGCTATGATGGGCACCAGCTGAACCTTTTATAATCTGTGTCGTTACCCAATAATTATTACACCTTGCACACTGGACCCAAGGCAGATGCCTTTCTCGGGATCCATTGTCTCTCGCTCTCTCTGTCTCACTCTCCCTCTCTTTTTCTCTGTCTGTCTCTCTCTTTCTCTCTCTGTCTCTCACACACGCGCACACACTCTCAATCTCCCACTGTCGCTTTCTCTCTCTCTCTCTCGCCCTCCTTCTCTCACACACATATCCCTCTCAATACAGAAACCACACCACTGTAACAACAAGAACAACTATGACAACAACAATAATAATAATTATTATAATATCAGCAACAATAAAAATAAAAACTGCAGGTGCTACTTTTCACTTCACATCAAGGCGGAGAAGGGATTTGACTAAACAAGCGCTTTGAGGCGTTTTAAAGACGTGAACAGCGCAATATCAAATGCCAGGATTATTATTATTATTAATTGTGAGAACATTGTGGGCATCTACACACTGCAGCACCGCCTTATGGTGAAAGTAACGTGGTAGTGCAGATTTTTATTTCTAATATAAACCCAGAGTAAATCACAACAAATGAATATTTTCCTCAAATCCACAACAGCCACGAGGAGAGATGGA